CCTCTCTCTCTGTGTCCCTCTCACTCGCTGCCGTATAATTCCCCTGGTTTTGCTTCTATAAATATGGACAGGGAAGATGTATAATTTCTAATGAGAAAATATATCCCTTTGGATTGAAAGGCAGGGGCTGTTCCACACACTGCTGTTTGTTAGGAGGAGAGATGATACCTCAGGCTGTTTTGGCAGCGAGAGGAGGAGGAGGGGGTGGTGGTGGTGGCGGCGGTGGTAAGAGGAGTCTGGCTAGGTCATTGCACATTTACAAATTAGCATTTCAATCATGCAGGTACATGGCCAGTCGAGCAGAAAATATACATGTTTTTCTAATACAAGGCACAAGAAGATAAACAAAACACTGGCCGTGTTAGTGGAATTAGCATTTCAGGGCTAACTGTCACTGTGTATTTTGCCCGTTTCTGTTTGGGGGCTCATAACTAAAATTAAAGGTGCCTCTTCTGCTCACATATTCCATTCAGTGTTAACTCACAAACTCATAGCATTGTGTAATAATGGCTATTAGGAGATGAATACAAGATCTGGATTGTGGTGTTTATTTGGTGGGAGTGATGTGACATTCGAATAACTGTATGCTCTCTATGATGGGCATTCTAATAAGCCTGGGCAAACACCTTTTGTCTCTCTTCTCCCTGTTTCTCTCTGTCTCAGGGGCATTAATATTAAAAAGGACTGAGCTTTGGAAACACAGAGCTTGTGTGATTGTTCAATCCGCTCTATGCCTTACCTGCGACTCTTGATGTAGTCTTGTGCAAATGAGAATCTCCATACTGCCCTGTTTGACCTTTGTGTTATATTTTCATGTTCCCGACTATTTTAGAATTCTTGTTTATACAGCTTTGTTTCAGCTGACATGCATGCATGCATGCATATTTCTTCCTGGTAGGTCTACCAGTGTGTGTGCATGTGTGTGTGGCGTATCCAGTAGGCCTATATATACATATACACACTCCCCCTTTTCTTTCCTCAGTCTTTTGGGTGCAATTTCCAGGTCCCTCCTGTAGGACCTATTTTCTGTGACAAAAGTGGAGGTGTTTATATACTCAGTTTTACATACAGAGCGATCCCCTGCACAGCTCTGGTGCAGCTTCAGCTCTCTCCAGACACTCCGCTGCTTGGTCCCTGTGTGGCGCAGCCACTGAAGACTCGGTGACAAATGGCAATTATATTTGTGTGTTCTTCATGAATCCATCAAACACTGGCCTTTTAAAAATGCTCCCCAGATATTTGAGGCTGTCAGCTACTAGTAGCTGGGACCAAATTGGGATGCTGCTTAGACAGTCAAGAACCACTCACCCCCTAGTTTCCCCTGTGATGTGTGTGACAGCGTGTGTAGGGGAATACCATGTTTTATTCAACTACAAATGTACACTCTCAACAGTTGTTGATGTGCTCGAAATAGGGCAGTTACAAGTCCAATTTGAAGTCTTGTGTGTGAGTGTGTGTATGTGTGTGTGTCCAATTGTTCCTCCAAAACATGGTGTTTAAATGCAACCTGTCAGGTTGTGTTTATTCGGTTATCTTAGGACACCTCTCCTTTTCTACGAGCTTGTGGCAACCGCACAACTTCTCGCGTGTTTTTTTTTTTTTTTTTCTAAACTTGCTGGGATTTGTTCATATCAAATTTTGATGCTGCTTGTCTTACCTGCTGTGTTGTAGGAAAAATGCAGTAGCAGCGCGCCTGTGTTGCTCTGTCAGGATTTATTAACAGGCTCAGCTCATATTTGCATAAATCAGTTTTATCCTCAGATGTGGAATCAAACTGTATGTTCAAGAACTTCATTACCGCGTTATATTACCTTGAAATTCTGAAGTCTAATCTTGTGTGAAGCCCACAGTAACACGCAAAAAAAACCCCGTCTATGTTTTAGTAAAGTTCAGTGTAATTAAGTCGGATTAACTAAAACAATGAAAAAATGCCCAATAGCTGCATTTCAGAGTTCATGAATGATGGCTTTATTTTAAAATGTGTTATATGCAGGTTTACAGCACATACTGAACAACCAAATATGGCGCCGATAGTGTCCAAACTTATACGATATAGTTTTGTGTGCACGCTGCAAGTTTTCATGCCCCATCCTACCAGCGTAGCACAATCCTGACAGGTCTTACTGTATTTCTGCTTTCTCTCATTATTTCTTCATTTGTCTCGTGGTGACTGTACAAGTCTGTCATTGCCATCTTTTGACAGTATCATCATTATTATGATCAATGATTATGAATATTACTCCATTGTGTCCATTAATCTCAGTCACCATGTTCATCAGGATAAAAATAAAGACTGCGACCGTGTAAAGACTATCCAAGAACCTGCCACCGAAGTGCACTACTCTTCAGACTTGAACCACTTTTTAGGGCTTTTGCAGCGTGTCAGAAACCCGAGTCAACGCTTATGTACTCTGGTTTTTACGTGGTGGTTTCTTAATAACTATTTATACTTTGGCAAATTGAAAGCTTGACTTCCTCAAAAGGAAAGGTAATTATGCCTCCCAGTCTACTTTGGCCTTTTTGTGTATGAGCGTGTGTTTATGTGTGAGAGTCCATGTGGCTAGTTCGCTTAACCTAAATGGGGGAAAATGACTGTAATTATGCAAGGTACTACTGTATGAGCGATTGATTTGTTGAAGAACTGTCATCCTTTGTACAGGAGTTTTCTAACTTGTACTGACTTCGTAGCACTCGGATGAACGGGTGAATTATTTAGAAGGTGCAGCGCTGTATGCAAGTTGCGCTGTTTGTGCGTGTGAGTCTTTTACAAAATGAGTTTGGACAAGTTAATCTTTACTTATTGATGGGAATTTTGCCTCATCAGTGTCGGTGCTTTTATGTGTTTAAAATAAATAGCTGCGTGTAGTGGAAGAAGTGGGTTTCTGATTGCATGTCTGGAAAATGTAAAATTTTGCAGAAGTAATTCAATCTTCTTCACAAAGTGGAAATGTTTAGCAGAGTAAGTCTAAATCGCTGTTAGCTGGATTTATATTGATTAAAAATAATCAGCTTAATAAATGGGTGATTTCCCTAACTGACTCAGAATAACAAAAGCTGCACTACTGTGTGAATGTGTGAGTTTAAACGACAGTGACACATTCAGATCAACATAACATCAGGGTTTTTTTTACAGATTATCACTTTTGTTTGACGAAAACTTTCCTTAAATGTCTTCCTGGTAGGGCGAAATCCTCCTCCTCTGCCGCCCCGGTGAGGACAGTGAGCAAGGTACATATATTAAAAAGGCGTGGAAAAGCGTACAGCTGCCAGGGGTAAAACTGAAGAACAGCAACAACTCCGAGTCTCCTTGTTAGAAAGCTTTAGTCTCTCCACACAGTGTCATGGGTGGGCTGCAAGGCTTTTGTCTTTTGGAGAAGAAAATCCATCAACCTGGTCTTAAATCACTGCATAATGAATTCTATCGTGTGCTACCCAGTTGTCTAATTCAAATTGCATGGAATCCTGATCCCTAAAGTCTATATTTGTTTATCGAAGCAGCATGCAGAAGCCCGAACGAGGAGAAGGCAAAACCCACTGTGTGTATTTAATTGCTTTGTTTTACATCCACATTCACATCCGGCCTCTCCCAGGGTGATGTGTTGTTAAAAAGTGCAAGGCCCGATTCCCACACTCTCTCGCTCTCTTGTTAACCGTAATTGCACTTGTTGGTGAGCTGACAGAAAGAAAATAGAGATGGAAAGAAATTACCAGCATCATATTAAGTTCTATGTTTGCATCCACTCTGGAAAATTTGTTGATTTCTGGACAGCTGCGGTGTAACACTTAAACAAGCCTTGCGGAGAGTGCACCAGACAGCTGTTAAATGAGGCACAGTTCACGTTTGGTGGGGAAGACACTATATATTCAATGTATATAAAGAAAGTGTTAAATAGGAAGAAAAAAAAAGACTAGTTCACACAGACAAACTTAAAAGAGATGAATAATTCACAAAATCTGGCAGCGTGTGCACATGCATAGTGGCTCTGATGTGGAGGGGAGGTAATGTAGGAGTAAGTCCCAGTAGAGCTGAATGTGCAGGTGTTCCTCACAGGAAAATGCCACCTCCTTTGCTCACTCACATCCTTCCCCTTCTTTCTTATCAGACAGGTCGCTGTCTCCTGACTTTCTGTGGCTGTCACACATGCACTTAGGAAGACTAGTCGAGGCCATCTCTGAGCCTTCAGAGGAGAGAAGATCATTACCGTTGCAGACAGCAGCCATTTTGTATATGTACACTATCACAGTCTCTTTTTACTGTATTAATCTCTCTTTCTCTCACCGACTTAACTCACCGAGGTACTGCTCCCGCAAATGTCTTGTCTGCCTACAGCGGTGGCTTTTGTGATCCTGTCACATATAAAGTTCCTCCGTCTCCCTGCTTCTCTCTGTCGTTCCAGGTTGAAATGTTTGCCATGTGATCGATATTATCACGTTAGGAAATAGTGGCAAGATTTGCTGAGAGTGATAAAGCTCAGAATGGTGTGTCTCCACTTCTGTGTTCGGTTTGTTAGAACTGAACATCACAGGCTGCAGTGACTTTAAATGTGAATGAAACGCATGAAGTGCAAGGTGCAGAGATTGCAGACAAAGTTGTCTTTCAGCTAAAATAAAGTTAAGTGAAAGTAATCCACTTCTGTAAAAATAGACACTATAAATAATGAGCAAGTTATTAAAGCAAACCATTACTTCCCTTTTCTTATGCTTTAGTGTTGGGTTGTGCTTATTCCTCTGCATTCACATAGAAATTGTCTTTGCATAATCAAGCAGTTTTTTTGTTGTGTTTAAATATTCAGTTTTGATTGTTTAATATTAGTTTGAAAATGTTTTAGCTGAATAAATGCAAGACGATGCAAGAAGGAATATTTCAGGGACATTTCATCTCTTAACACTGCTTCAATATCAATTTAAATAATTGTACTAAGTCTTTGGTTTCCAACTTTTTAGTAAACAGGAGTAAAAATATTTTCCTTTCTGTTTTTTTTCTTCTTTTTCACCACCAGCTCAACCTCAGTCTGAGTCTGATTCAAAGCTCGTGCTCTCTGAGCCTGCTGAGGGAGACATTGCCAAAGACCATAATGGGTTTCGCCATGGCAGCGCTGGCACACCCACGCTGAGTAACGGCAACGGAATCCATCCTGGCACTGGTGGATCCGACGCCACGCGGACATGCACCTGCGGTGCCAACATCAGCATGAGCGCCACGGGTGGGTCAGGCCCTGGCACAAGAACAGCGGCGGCCAAGCCAATGACAGAGCAGCCCAGGAAGCAGCCGTCCACGCCTGTGTCACAGAGGATGCAGAGAAAATTGAGGTCCAGCTTGTCAGTCAACAGTGACAGCAGCCGGCGAAGCAAAGGCAGTTCCACGGGGTCACAGAAGGCTCCTTTACCAGAGGGTGAGTATCAACACAAGAGGTAATAATGACAGCAAATAAAGGGGAGCATAATCCCATATATACTGACACACTGATGCTCATACTAACTTTTCTAACACTTTATTGCTGGCATGCCGCTGTCGCTGCATCTCACCTTCTGTTGCTCATAAATTCATTTTATCTTTGGGAGCTGCACGCTGTAATCATGGTCAGCCAAGGCATTTCATAAAATAATTTGTGTTGTCTTGTCATTATATCTTGTCGTATAATTTATCTTATGCATGCTATTTTGGTTAATTATTTTTCTAAAATTAAAGGAACGTGCCAACCATTTTAACAATTTCAAAAATTATGAGCTGATAAAACCCAGAAGCAATCCTTAGTCTTATAAAATGAATTGCATGCATTGTAAAATGTGAATTGTATAGTCTGACCTGATCAGGCTGAGAAGGAAAAAACACTTGATCAAGAAATCCCTTATCTGCAGTCACACAGTGAAATGAGAACACCATCAAACAAAATGAGGGTGTTCTTAGGAGGCGCACATGAAAAGATACCTTATAAGATATTGATAATAAATTCTTACCTTCTCTCACCTTTTAATGATGGCAGTGCATCTCATATTTATCACTCCCGTCATGCAATTGACATCTTATCTCGCCCCTGTGGCTTTTATTTTCTTTAACAACAAGTCAGAGAGTCCGCTGGCCATGCGGGGAAGCCGTCACTTTGTCAGGTGCAAGGCTGAGGTGAATCTGGTAATGAAGGTGGCTGGCCAGTCCTTTTCCGTTGGGGAGATAGGTGTGACCGTCTAACGAGGCCTGAGAGCACGGGGTGCCTATTAAAAGTCGTGACCAGCCTTCTTCGGGCCCCTCACACCTATCTGGGCCCTTTTTGGCTCTCGCTACATCCCGTCAGCACCACCTTGGCCCTCATTAACAAGGCCTCTACTGTACTCTAAGGCTGTGCATGTATTTGTGGACTCACGCGTGTTCTCTATCTGTCAGTAGCGCATGCAGCATTAGGATTTAGTCATATTTCTTTAAAGTAGATGGGCCATTCCTACATTTTCATCCAATCCAAGGTCTTTGCTATTTGTCTTTTTATGTGGGCCTTTTCTCCAAGGTGAGGATGGAAAATAAGATGTGATTTTATGTGTTTTTACAGATTCATAATGGTCAGGTTGAGATACAAGTTGAAAAAAAAAGGGAGAAAAGTGGGCAGTCAGATCTTTATTTGATGATGCTTCACTTGAAATATGCATCAAATCGAGCTGCGCACAAACAAAGCAAGCAGACACACACACATCCACAATACCTTACAGGTAAAGGTGGGATGCATCCACCAGAGATATTCCAGACACATCATGTTTTCAACATCTTAATTGGTAAAGAAAGGAAGAGCGAGAGCGTAAAGAAAAAAAACCAAAAAAAAAACACAGCAGCCGCTCAACAAGTCTCATTATGGCTTTTGTGTTGCTTATTTGCAGACGCGAGAGCTCTCAGAATCAATATGTTCGCTCTCAACTATTTATTTCCCCCCGGAAAACAGCCAAGCTGTTGTGTTTGAATGTTTACACGGATTAACATAATCTGTTTGCCTGTGAAATTAGCCTCCTAAACAGCCCCCTGAACACAGGAAATAAAAGGCGTAAGCTAGCAGGAGCTAGCTCTGGGGATTCTGTTGCTCTCTGTGTTTCTTGGCACACGCCGTTGGCACCGTAGCCAATCTGTGATAACACGGCAGCTTCTGAGGAGTCATTTACCACACTGCTTTTGTTCAGCAGAGTGGGTTGTCTCAAGTCTTGTCATCCAGTTTGTGTTTTTTGTTAATTGTGTGTAATCAGTTAAGGTCTCCAAGCTGCTTTAGCCTCATTTAGAGATTTCGGGCCAAGACCGTGAGCACAGCGCTAAGCTCTTGCCTAAGCTGTCAACCTAGATGTGTTTGTGTGTGTGTGTGTGAGTGTGTGTGTGTTGTGGAAGCTCTAGTCTTTTCCGTCAGTCATACATTATAAACAGACCTGCTTTTAAGTGCATGTGGTGGACCTTCGCTATCCAGCCCACATCCTCTGCCCCCTTTAACCATGTGTGCCTTTTGAGCATTCCCATGGCCACCAAGGCTTTGTCTGATCAGTCTCTCTCTCTTTATCTTTGACCGTCTAGCTATCTTGCCCTCTCTCTCCCTCTTTGTGAGTTTGAATGTTTTGCACAGCTTGCTGCTCTGAGGCCCATCCAGCTTGTTTTGTGTCATGCCGCTCCCCTTTTTTTGATGTTAGCTTTCCAGATGTCTCAAACTATTTCCTCAGAGGCGCTGGACGCTGTTTTTTTGGCCCCGCAAACTCTGAGCTTCATCTCCGCTCGCTGACATTAAACAGGAGCATTGTCAGTGTACGCTGCTCCGTCTGTCCGTTGGTTGGTTTCACTCTGTCTCTGTCTGCCTTTCCGTCTGTCTCTCTCTGTTTTCATGGAGATGTGCCTCGCGTCCATCTCTCTTGTGTACAGTATACGACCCCTCCCCTCCTTCCTCCCCTCCCTCCGTGCTGGCTTCTGTAAGATCCAGACTAATCGCTGGTGTTGAATTATACATCCAAGTGAATAGCTGAGATGGCTGGCCACTGCTTAATGCCTGTGTACTGTGTTTGTATCGCGTTCACAGTCTGCTGTTACATTCCGAATGCTGGCATGGCTATACCCTCTGGGTCCTTCAGAGTTTGTTAGGCTGAACTTTGAGGGTTTTGTGCATGAAGCTGTGGCCAGGCGGTGTTTATTGCTCTCGCTGGCATTTCGTAGCGCTCAGATGGCAGTGTACTACAGCGGATGCCAGCATTGAATGTGGTATGAGTTTTTGTTATGCCAGCATGAAAAAAAAAAAAAATCTCCAATCTTGCCCACCAGCAGTTTACTGCATGTCCACCCCAGATGTTCCGATTTATTCTCTTGCATCTTCCATCACTGCCAGTGTTATGGCCTCAGATAAGGATAATAAGATGCATTCAAACTTCAGGCACCCTCACCGACACGCACACACGTACGCACGCGGTTGCTCGTTTCATGTTCCCTTCTCCATCTTGTTTGTATCGCAGTCAGCTAGTGCTTCTGGTCAGCTCCGCAGCCCTTAGCACTGCAAAATTAGAAAAAAAAAAAAAAACCTCCCCTACTTTGATTAATCAAACATGAGCATTCAGCGGCCCTCAGCTTGCCTTCCCATTCCGTCCTCCACACTCGCCTCCTTTCGCTTTCCCTCTAACCCAATCAGTAACAGCCCCTTCTGACAGCTCAAGATGGGCTGATGAAAGTTATGCAAATGTGCCCTGTTTGTAATGCTATTTTTCTGCATCCATCCACATCATGTCTTTTTAACACTCCAAAGCAGTGGCGCTGCTCTGGCCTTGGATCAAACATGAGACAGCTGCAAGGAGTGCATGCCAGACGCACTTACCCAAAGATATTAAGTGTGATTTAGTGGCTCGGATACAGTAACAGAAGTTCGAGGATGGAGAAGCTTGATTATGGGCAACAAAAACTGTATTCATTCATCTCTTATTTGTGTATCTACGGGCTATAAACAATTATTCATCTGTGTTTATTTCTTCGCCTTCTGTTTAGGACATGTTTAAGAATTCCTTTTTTTCAAAATAAGCCTCTCATTATTTGGAAAAAGTGACTTCGACTCTAATAACACGACAAGTTTAGGTTGACTTTATGCCAAACTGCAAAACACAATCTCTCCTGTATCTCATGTTTTGTTGACATTGTGGTTTTCACACCACAAAGCCAAGTGCAGACAAGACACACTAATTACAGGAATGTTGTTTTTTCTCTCTCGCTCTCTGTCAGTGATGTGACGTTGCGATATACAATCCATGAAAGCACACATTAGAGAGTAAATCAAATCAAAGCCATGATGTTGTTTGTATCCTGCTGTGATCTTATCGGCCCCTTTCAGACGTGAGCTCTTTTCTGTTAATCTGATAGTGTTTGAAAATGTCAGTTTCATGTCTGAACGTGCACCCTGGTCATCGATCTTTAAAATTTAGAGTGTAGTCTCTTATATGTAGGAACTAGCAACATTTCATGTCAGCTCTGCGTGCTGTTGCGTTGAGCGATTTTGGGAAGGCTTTCTCAGATATTCGTACATAGATACCATAGAGAGCCAAAGTCACAGAACATATGTTTTGTTCACTTTGCTTTACAATTTCACAGCTATTTCAAACTGAAATGCCAATTTAAAAAAAGAAAAACTTGACTGGGACTGACCGGAGAATAGTTCAGATTAACGAGTCAGGAGTTTAAATACCTGCAGCTTCTAACAGCACCATGAGCGTCTCTAAAGCAACAGCGCTTGCACGTTTATAATTTCATTAATTGCTTCTAATTATAGAATATCCCTGAAATAGAGACGGGATCAATCAGGATCTCACACCAAGTACCTTTTCTGACAGGTGAGCTGTCACACACAAATTGGCTGTTGGGTCATTTGTTACATAGCGGGCTTTACTATGAAGGAGTCGATAAATTATCATCTCACGAGGACAGAATTTTTGATCAATTAGGCCGTTAGTTATTTAGACGGTTTGATAAACTTGCTGTTAGTTTACATTTTGTTTGTTAGTGGATTAGTATGCCTTATATGGAGTTGGTCTGTGGTCGTTCTAACCTAATGAGCATCCGTAAAAGAGAAAATTTGGTCTGGGGTCTGTGTCCAAGAGCTCCAAAGTTTGTCTGGGAAAGATTAATCACAGATAAGGTATTGCACTGTAAGCTTAGCATAAAGGAGATCAGGTAATAATATGATAAAATTAGAGTGATATACATGTGAAAAACAAAATTAACCTTGAATTTGATGCATTGATATTTTCTCACTGAAGTTAAATATTTGGTGTCTAAAACTTGCATGCCATTGCCAACAGCTTCCCAGTGAAAGTTTCTTAGCAAAACTTTTTATTTATCATATTTCATTGCTCATTCAAACCAGCATTGTAGTATTTTAATGAAATGTGTAACTAATTCTGCCTTTCAGGGTCATTTTTATGATGGTTAATGGGAACATTAGTAACTTGAAGGGAAACCTTCAATTGCTGCAAAACAACAAGCTGAAACTTGCCACCAGGCACATAAGGAGTGTCTATGGGGAGGTTAAATGTTAATCAGCGGTGTGAGCATTGTCAGCATTAATTCACCTATTTGCCAGGGAGAGGCTCTTGGACTTTGCTAATCATCTTTGTTTGATCAACCCAGCAGTTTGCATGATAATGCCACAATTATTTAACAGCCTGTTAATCAAAACTGCAGGAGAGGAATTCATTTCTCTGAATTTTTCTTATTTTCTTTGGCCCCCCTGCTTAGTTAGAGGTCACCCTTTTGCTGCATACTTACTCTGTTCCACCTGTCAGCATGCGTCACTCATCGACTCACTGCTTCTTTACTAATTTGGGGGAAATTGAATTCACTGAATTTACACTTTGAAAAATTTTTTTTTTTTTATTTTATTGACGTGTGTGCTTCATTCTTGTGTTTTTATTTTATTCACATATTTCTGTCACCTCACGACTTGTCACCCTGACTGGTTTGACACGGACCCAGACTGCTGCGTTCACTGCATCTTGGCCTGCCTTTTCTGTGAGTTCCTGACGCTTTGCAACATGGTAGTGGCCCAGGCCTCGTGCGGCGCATGCACATCAGAGGCTTGCTGTTGCTGCTGCTGCACAGACGACCTGGGCGACGACTGCAACTGTCCCTGTGACATGGATTGTGGCATCATGGATGCCTGCTGCGAGTCCTCCGATTGCCTGGAAATCTGTATGGAGTGCTGCGGCATCTGCTTCCCCACATAGGGAGGCCTCAGTTTGTGCGGACCAGGGTGTCTCTGCTGGGAATAAGTGGACCCTGGACGAAAATATCGAAGGAATCCGCTGCTGCTGTCGCTTTGAATTCGGCAACAGACGGGGAAGTGTGAGTGTATGAGTGAGTGATTTTTGTCTTTTTGTCCTTTTATTTGTGTCTTTTCAGTGTGTGTGTGAAATATTGTGGTGTGTGTGTATAGCATGCTTTGTAAGATGTATTTTGACACTGGGCTTCTCCATCAAAACCAGCTCAGCAGGAGCTAGAAGTAATTCCAGATATATGAACATGTCAGTTAAGTCTTCAGTGTATTGTAAGTATTCTATCGGAAAAGTATTATCACAGACTGCCTTTAAAGTTTTTAGTGATACATCAGGAAAGCTGTCGAATTGTATCGTTTCTTGCCTCTCTTTTGGTGACCGACGTGTCGCCCACACTCCACAAAATGAACATTTACTCTGTTTTCATTTTCAAGTCTTGTGGGTTGTTTTTGATGCTCAAAAGAACTGAGGTTGCAGACTTAGTACTGTACAACACTGTAAAAGGTTTATGTGATGATTCATCCATTCCTAATCGCATACTGTAGTTTTGCAACACGGATTTCCATTTAGACATATCTACTGTAGAACTGGTGAAATATCAACGGTGAATCATCAGATTATCTGCTACTTCCTGACACTAAAGCGTAGGGCGTTACGTCTCTAGCTCGAGGAATGTTTTTGAATTGGAGCGACCTGTTATTACAGAGAAGAAATGCACAACTTTGCCGATAAGCTCTTAATTGTTTTGCAAAATTTTCGGATTTGCTGGAATGTTTATGAAATTTCTCATCTCACTTCCTCCTGATTTGCCACCTTGGGTTTACTGGAAATAAAGTACACACATGCACATTTTTTTATTGCAAAAGGTCCTGACCAGTTCAACGTATAGCATTCTGCATTCAGATATCCAATGTGTACAGCTTATGTCTTCATTTCTGTGGGAGTCCTCTAATGTTAGCCGTCAATGATCTGGCTTTTGTCAGCTCCATATGGTACAAGTCTTCTCTGGGATGCTATTTTACATACATACTGTGGAAGCATGACTTGTTGAACTGCACTCTGTTCACAAGGGCCGTGATAAGGAATTAGAAAACGGTGACCCTCGTCGCCATATAAGCGGCTTTCGGGTATCAAGCCCAGTGACTCACAATACAAAAAAGGGAATCATGAACTGTCATGTTGAAATGGTAAACTAATGCAGGGTAAAGGCAGTTTTCTTCTCCTTTTTTTTTTTCTGTTCTTTAATTCTGTGTATCTCAAGATGAGTTTGTGGTGAATCACCAGCGGAGTCATTTTCTTGTCTCGGAGATCCGCTTTGATGTTGTTTAAGTGATGATACTTAATGCTGGCCCTCATTAGCACTGCTTACTAAATGGTAACAAAAAAAAATAAATTGTCCCTTCCCAACGCCTTCAAAGATAATGTGCTGTCATGTACAGTTCGTCTTAATGGCGCGCTGTTATGTGTATAAGGAGGTTGGATAGGCACCTCTTCAGCAGATAATGTGCAGGAAATAAACCTCATTTTCGTGTTTATGATTAACTCAAACCACAAGTTTGTTACGGGCTAAAGAGTGTCAAGAAAACACTATATAGATAATGTGAAGAATTTATCTAAAAATCGAAAAAAAAAGTAAAGTATATAGTAGTTGTCTTCTTATACTGTTATGCTTTGTTTATGCCTTAGACTTGATCGCTCTCATTTTCATCTGGATGCATCACTGCTTGACGTGGAGTTCATAGCTCATTTTATTAGTTTTGTACATTATCTTAAATCTCAGAGAAAAGTTTTTAAAAAATAAAACATTACCAAAAATGATGCTGGTTTTATGCCTTTTTTTTTTCTTCTTCTTGGGTTTGTCATGTCTTCATCATGTTCCAGTTGTGCAATATGCGACTAGCAGGTCCTTCTTCTTCGTACCAGATGTGCAGTAACGTTTTGACATGCATGTTCTAATCTAATTTTTGTATTTAGCAACTCTGGAAGATTAACAGTAATCATATTTGTGTCACAAATACATCAAATGCAGCACCAACAAATTGTTAATTAATCAACACTGGAAGATTGACAGGAAATTAATCTGCAACATTTTGATAATTAAAGAGTCTTTCTAATAATTTCAACAAGAATGGAAAATATCTGGTTTAAGCTTCCAAAATTTGAAAGTACGCTGTTTATGTTTGTCACTTTAAGCACATTAACTAACAGATGTCTTCTGATGGTTCGCAGACCAAATGATTAATCAGTTAATCAAGAGAATCTTGAACAGTTGGATTTATAATGAAACCACAAGAAAACGCACCATTTTAATCAATTATTGGACCAAAATACAAACTAATATAACGTTCCTCGGTCGATCATATAACTAGACGTTTGGCTTCAGATGCTAGTGTTTAGTAGTTTTGTCCAGAAGTCATTGGTTTGTTGACGCCACTCTTTCATTCTTAACTTCTTTATTTTCAAATCCCCCACCCAACATTTGGATGAGATTCAATGACGAGGCCATTCGTTAACGCTCCATTTGAGCCCTTTCTTGGTGGATTTTCTCGTGTGCTCAGCATGAACGTCGTGTTTGAAGTAAAAAGTCCACTTCTGGTTCCACTTTTGACCTCACATTATCTCCAAGCCCAGTTTGATATGATGCAGGATTCATCGTTGAATCACTGACTCCAGGCTGACCGGACCCCGAACCATTCCACCTCGGTTTCCTGACAGTTGGTATGGGGGGTTCTTCTCCTGAAAAGCTTTGGTCCCTTCCAGGAGCGAGCGCTAACCCAGGAACAGCATCAGTGTTAACACGGGAACATGGCCGACAACACTGGGCAAGGTCAGCGGGGAGCAGGGACCTCCTGCTGGCTGGAACAGCGGTCTGACCTTCAGCCAACACCACCCCCTGTTAACCCCCTCAATTAACCTCCACGTCAGCCCCTCTGCTGGAGGAGCCAAGGAGGAGAGTCCCCTTTCCATTCTATCTTTATTTCCTTTTATCATTTTCTGCCTGGGTACACCCTGGCCCCCAGGAAATTACCATCTTATTTCACTAATTCGTTGGAGAAAATACCATTGTCCAGAAACTCTGTAATCATGCAGGAGTTGGACTTTTTCTTTCTTTTTTTTCTCCACATATACAGGTGGAAGGCTGAGATTTTTTTTATTTTTTTTGAAAACTCCAGGTAGAGTGTGCAATGACCTTTTCACAAAGTCTTCCACCTTTCTAGTCCTCTAATCAATCCCCCTCTGATAGCTGGCTGTGTGCTGGATTGTAATGTCACAATTAGGACTGCTCCATTGTTTCTGTTTGCCATCTGGGGAGAAATCCAGCAGCTCTTTGATCTCAAGGTCATTTCTTTTACAATATTAAATAAATTAGAGCTCGGGCTACGGCCTCCTCCTCTGACTAGTCATGTATTCATCCATCCGTCCATCCGTCCATCCCTTCTTCCTGCTCAATTGGGTGGGATACTCTTTCGCTCAGAAAATGAAAGTGTGCTGCCCTCGGCCATGAGAACAAATTACGGCTTTTGCTGTTGCTTTATATGAGAGGGGGACGAAGAAGGAAAAAAAAAACAGATGGGAGCATTAACGGTGTTTGCGTCCTTCATTTTCATATCAGACCTGAGAGTTGTATACTGATTCTAGCATTATTATGATTATGAATAATATGACTAATTAAACAGGACAACAGGGGTGACAGTCATGTGCTACACTTCTCTTTATTCAGTGTTTTTTTTCCCCCTCTTTTACGTCAAACAACAGTGCTCTTTTCCCCTCACAGTCCTCTTGTCAATCCATAGGATCCATAATAGCCGTCATTACCCGGCTGTTAGCGTTGAGGTGATTCATTCTGATATATTTACAGTGTTGTGTTGCGAGTCATTAAAGGTAATCACACAGACACAATAACTGCGTCAACCAAACACATCAGAACATGACGTGCATTGCGGCATAATGGGTTTCTAAATGCGGTGTGGCAGTTAATCAAAAAAGTTTGTCGCTAAATTTGCGACACAAAGCCTTTTGTTAATGAATTCCTTTGCGCGTATGTTTGCGTGCGACTACTGAGAAGCGCCGCAACGTCCTTTTCACCTTCCTCTTCGCTTGTGTCAAAGTTTGAAAAGGCTCGACCTCGCTGTTTAGACTCGCGCCGTGACATTAAAATAAGATGAGATGATCTTTCGGAGGGCTGTGCAAGGAAAGAAAAAAAGAAAGAAAGAAGAGAGTTCAAGTGATGTCACTTTCAATTAATCTCCTCAGGTAGTGGCCCCATTAGCCCTCTCACACATGGGCCTGGTTTACAATGCAAATAGGGTCATTACCTGAGGATTCTAATTGACTTTGACAAGAGGCCGAAGCAGCCTGAGCTTCTTCCGCAGTTTATTTGTTTGCTTATTATTTCTCCTCGCGCAGGAAAAGTGCGTGAAAATGACATTAGCTGTGACGAAACGCTCAAAAGCAATGAGTTTTCCTGTTTATTTTTCGCTGGCGCGCCTGTTAAAATGTGCACACCTTTTTATTAAAAAGTCAAATTCAACACTCGGAAATGACATCGGTCTCAGAGCAGAGTCTCGGCAATGAAATGTAAATGATTTCCAAGAGAAAGATTTGTATTCTTTGTTCCCCTCTCCTCTTATAGTAACGTGTGATCGTACTCACACCTTAAATATTTAAAGACCCCCTTTTGCTAAAGCTTTGCCGTGGTACATGGGCCTCTGACTGCTTCTAATCTCCTTGTTACCTGGAGGCGTCACCACGGTGATGCGAAGATAACATGTGGCAGTTAGCGAGATCACGAGACTGGAGCTTAAAAAAACGGGAAAAAAAAGAAAACCCTGTATGGGGCACAGTGAGGTTCAAAGTTTCTGCCATGTGCTGTGCCCTGAGAAGACGGCGTCGACAACATCTGCCTGAGAGAACGACAAGAATCAGACAGGAATGAAAGACACGGAGATCAATCGTTTCCCTTTCTTCCTCGACACTGCAGGAAACAACCCCTCCTTCCTCACTTCTCCCCCCACCCACCCCGAGATATTGTGGCATCTTTAACTGCAAGTGGAATGTGTTTTTGTTGAGGGTACCAGTGGTGCCTGTGTTGAGGGAGGTTTTGTGTTTTATGGATGCCTGCACAAGCTTTCAGACGGAGCAGCAGAAAGCAGGGGTCTCGGACCTGTAAATAAGACATCAGCTCAAAGTTGTGCAACTTTTCTATTTTCCTTTTCGCCTCTCCGTCTGAAAGCCAGTGGACCGTGGGAGAGGCAAATTGAGAGGGACGTGCGGATCAGGGATGCCTGTTTATTTGCTTGTACACGCTCCTTGAGCTATAAATTAGATGTCACCATTGTTACATGTCATTTGCTGATGTGGACGTGTTGCGGTCTCCCAAGCAGCACTTTTGATTGTTTGTTCTTAACATCACTTAAATGAACGAGGACTCCACTGGCCTCCAGTCATCTGGATCTCGTGAGTGATTGGCAGGTTGTTTGGCAGGCGTGCTTGTTCCATTACAGTTTATGCGGGCATTTACAACCTCATGCAACGCTAATTTTGTTTATTATCGAAGCCCGACCTGTGTTTTGTAGGTTTACGAAACGCGTTATTTAGAAACACGCTGACGTGTTTTTTGCAATTTGTGTTTCAATCAGTCGTCTCTTTTGTGGATTTTCCAGCGCTGCCAAGTGAAACAGTTCATAATGCAAACTCAAAATAGCAGATTGGTTGCTTGGTCGACTCTCCTTTTCATCTTCGGCTCTTTTGAGACCTTTTTGTGTATCAAACTGGATTCATTTTTCCAGGAAAAAAAGCGGGCTTTAAATTGAGCATCAGCACGAGCACAAATGGAAAACTTCCCTCATGGTGGTTTTGTAAAGGGATGTTTATAGAGCCGAGATGTGCGTTTGTGCGTGTGTGTGTCTCCTTTTAACCTGACTCAACCAAGCCAACCCACTCAGACAAAGAGAGGGAGAGAGAGCACGAGTAGCTTACCTCCCTCCATGCAGAAAGAAAACATGGATCAAGGTCTTTAATAACACCAGCCATTGTGGCAAATATATAGGACTCAACTTTCCGCTTGGAGCAGCCTCTTCACATTGAGTTAACATGACTGACAGCCAAAGCCTCTCTCACACACACACACACATATACACACACATACATACACACCAACATGCTGCCTCTAAGATGCTTCGTAACAACAGGGAAAAAAACACAAGATCAAACAAACAGATGAGTCTTTCACTATATTCCGCTCAGGCTAAAGCTTCCCCTTTTACAAATAAACACCATTAGCCGTTTTGTCAGATTTGTTCAGTTGTTTTCTTCCTGTACGTTTGTTGGGTTCAAGAGCCCCCCACAAACAACAACAACAAGGCAGCAGCAGCAGCAGTAGCGGCGGCGGCGATAAAAGCCCCAGATGTTTTGCCTCAACGTGTTTATTTGCCTGTCAGGTGTTCGTAATTATTTCATCTGCTACAAATAAACACGTCTCCTGTTGCATCTTTGTTTACGCGCAACAAACCGCCATGGCGACACGGTTGTTTGTGATGATGTACGGCGCGGATTAAAAGAACGGCAACTAGGCTTTGGCAGGGTGTTTGGTACACATGCCGCGGGGAATTAGGAAAGTTTACAGGTGTGCCTTGGCAACACCTGCTCGGATCCTCAAGCGGAACACAAGTTCTGTAAGTGTGAATTAACGTGCGCGTAGAGGTTGCTGCTGTTTGATGCACGCTGTTACCACCTAGAGACGGTGTCATAGGTTCAGTTTGTGTTGGAAAACTATGCTTGGAAGTGCTGGCACACGCAGAACAAACACACAATAAAGC